ATCTACATCTATTTTACTTAGAAACTTTTTTTTAAAAAAAAAAATCAATTTGGTCCATTTTCCCAGCACTTACCCCATTTGCCTGCTAGAAATCGAATAATTTTTCAAATATTCTTAGATTTACTTAAATAAAAATAATTGAACTAATTCTAAAAATAGATTGTGTTTTCACTTTCGGCAATAAAATTAGCAAAGATTTTTTTACGTGATACTTAACTGTTGATTTAGATAGATCATGTGATAGAAATTGAATAAAAAATCGATTTATTTTTTTCATTTTAAAAACACAGATGATTATCAAACAAGCAAAATATAATTAATAGAATTAATAGCATACAATGCATTATGATTGCGCAGCATCCTAATTAATAATTTTTATCAACTATATTTGAAATTAATATTATAATTCAAAAATTGTCAAATATTCTAGAAAGTTATATAAATTTGGAAGATACCAGTTAATCAATTAGAATATCATGTGGCTAACGAAATAGGAATGTCGTTTATTTATTATAATTATATATATTTAAAAATATATATACATGAACATGTACGTGTGTAACCTTTGATTTATTTAAGAAAAGATATCATCATCACACAATATATCGATCGTAATCTAAAAAAAAAAAAAAAGAAAAAGAAAAAAAAGTAATGTTATGGGTAATAAACATGATTAATATAATAAGAGGAAGATGGCATGGAGGTAAATGAATTTTCGAATATTGTGAAAATAAAGGAAGGTTATTGAAAATAAGCAGAACTTTCTCTTCTGCCAAATTAATTCATCAATTTCCAAATTAACTTATCTTGTACCAGCCAAGATAAATAAAATCATAATTATATTTAATTTTCAACCAAAATTTACAATCTCCTTTTTCTCACTAAATAAATATACTAAGATAAAAATTTTCAATTATTTTAACATGATGATAAATACTACAAAAAGAAAAACAAAAAAAAATCGATAAAAATACCAAATAGTTACAGCAATTAGAGATGTCGTCCAAAAAAAAGACTCATCTAATGTGAAAATATTATCGAAAACCGAAACTCAAAACTAAAATTTTTTAAATCTGAAACTTGATTTGTTTTGTTGAGTTTGATGAGTTAACCAATTTTGTCCAAATAAAAAAAAATAATATTATAAAAAAAAAAATGAAATCCAAAGTTAAGCCTAGTTAATGATAACTATCTATTTAAAAAAAAAAGCGAATTTACGTTTTTGCGACTTGTTCTTGATTCATGCTAGGAGAATGAACATTCATAGGCGGTAATTGAGGAGGAATCGGTGAATGAATCAAAGGAGATGAATCCACCGGTGATGGTACTGGCGCTTGTTGAGATTGATGTTGACGACGTGGTGATTGTTGTTTATGTTGATCACGATTAGTATGATGATGCTGATGATGATTATGAGGAGATTGATGTTGTTGACTTAATGGAGGAACAGGCACACTAGCACTTCTAGGTTTTAAGACATTCATAAATTTTTTTGCGGGATTTTCTTGATTTCTTTGAACTTTCTGCCTTAAAGCTTCCATCACATATTCATGATCTACTTCAGAATCATTTGAAAGTTTAGCACGCTTATTGGTAACGGACGTGGGACTTTGTGAATAATGATGGTGTGTTGATGTTGCAGAATGTGGATGTTCCGGTATACTGCTGGTAGGAGTAGAAAATGAATGATTATGCATAGCGGTTGGAGATGCGGTTATAATTGGAAATGATGGAATTGAAAGTGTTAAAGAAGGGCGCTGACTCATTGGACTATAGGAATGATTGTGTGAATTTGAAATCCCGTTATAAGATACATTATCATGTCCAGTGGCTGATGAAGGAGGCGATAAACGCGTTGTTGCGCTTGTTGGTGTTGTTGTTGAATAATTTGAATCTAAAAAAATTAAAAGGTGTTAAATTTATAATGTGTGAATATAACTAAAATATAGACATAAATACAACGAACCCATTGGTTGTGGCATAGGTAAATATGGACTGTGCATGTCTGAGGGAGATTTTCTGTTGAATCCAAAAAAAAGTATATTATTATATAAAGGTCAAACCCTTTTTTTAATCATTTATTTTTAGAAATAAATAAATAGTGATAACTACACATTGAATCCTGGTGTAGAAGTGTTTATTGCTGAAAAAAATAATAAATTAGTTATTAAATATGATCCAAAAATAATAATGATAATAAAATTGGTTAAATTAAATAATTACGTGGAACTCCAGTATAAATTGTTGGAGGCTTCTTTTGTTCTTTCAACATCTCTAAATCAACCTGTTTACATTGTAACCGTAATTGTTCCGTTTTATACTTTTCTTCTTCTGCTCGACGCTAATTTTTGAAAGAAAGAAAAAATAATTATTAATAAGAACTAATTTCTTGAAAATATTAACAATTCTGTAAAGGTATTCGAAAAAAAATATATAAAGTTAATGTTTATTGGAAAGTCAACAAAAACAAAATTATCTTCCGAGATATCTAGTTTGATTACTTCCAAACATCAAGTAGAAAACAATAATCAAAGAATAAAATACTTGCTTTATCTTCTTCAACTTTAGCATTAAGAATCTGTTTCAACAGATCATTATTATCACGATATGTATCTAATATTTCGCGAAGTGATATGTCAGTCCTCGGTAAAGTGTTTGTTGCTGGTGAAGGGTAAGAAAAGGCTGATTGATTTCTTAATTCTGACATTTTTAAAAATTTACTTATAAAAACATGTAGATAATAAGAATTTTTTTTTACGATTTTTTTTTTTTTTTTTTTTGAAGTACTTTTAAAACCTTCTTTTAATTTATAAATAGCAATGCAATAAAAAAAATTTTATAATTAAAATGATATAAATACCTTTTCTTTCTTACATTTACTATCCAGAAATAGATCATAATGATATTTGACACAAAGACAAATTAGAATCGGTGTAAAGTTTGCATTATGAATGACAATATGGATCACCTGAATTTACTCCATAAATATAATTTAGACTTGCAGTATTAAGTTTGATTTAAAATTGTGAAACAAGGTAAAAATTTTTAATTAATTAAATTTTATATTAAATATATTAAAATATTTATCATCTGATATGAAATCCTATATATTTATTAAATTAATTATATATTTTAATTACTATCCCTTAAATCGTAGGGTTTTGCAGGCAAATTTGCCTGCTTATTTACTATAAATTCTCTTCTGAGTTTGCTTTTATAAATAATTAATATTTTTAAAAAAAAAAACTTTTATTATTATAATTTTTATAATTTATGACTTTAATTAATCATAAAGTGATTAAAGAATTTTTAATTAAAAATCTTTTAAAAACTTAAAATCTTTGTTAATAAAGTTAATAAAATATATATTAAATTAAAGATAGAAATTGTAATTAATACATTGCAACTTTTAATGTTGCAACTTACATTGCAATTAATTTTAACCTATATATGTTACAACTTATAATGTTACAATATATGTTGCAACTAATTTTAGCTTATATTGCAAAATTTGTAAATTTGAAATTAATTGCTACACTATCTTTATATTAAACTATATTTTTTATATAATAATAATATTACTAAAATTAATATTTTATATTTTATAAAGAAATTAACCCTTTTTTTTAACTTCGCAAGCAAATTTGCCTGCTCTACAGTTTAAGAATAAAGTTAATTATTTTCATTAAAATATATTTATAAAAAAAATTTATTTATAATTATTAATCTTTATAATTCTATAATGAAAATAGGTTAAATAAATAAAAACTTTATTTTATTATTTAGTCTAAAGTGTAATGAAGAACTATATAATTCTAAACGTTATTTGACTTAAATGTCTGCATTTTTTTCATTCAATAATTGAGCTAATATTAATTAGTTACTTGAATTACACTTGCTTCAGACTTAGCAATGGTTCACATTTTCAAGTTATTTAATATTTTATAATTTCTTATAAATAATAATTAGAGGGTCAGAAATAATATTATTTTAATTTTCGGATTTCATTCCTACCTACTCTTATCATTAATTCCATTTTAGAAAACTGATAAATCATATAGTTTTTTTGTGAGATAGCATATCACATAAAATTAAATTTTCGCATTATTTATTAATATCATTTGAAAAGTTTATGATTAAAAGTTTAAACTGTATTTAAAAAGTAAAAAAAATATATTTTATTAATGTTTATTAGTTTAAGCAAAAAAAATATATTATATTATATTAATTATTCTAATTTTTAAAATTATTGTAAAATTTTGCTATTATATTTTGTTATCGTAAATTATTTTACTCAATTTTGTGATATTTTTTTTTGCTTTATAAATCATTATTTATTATTAGAAAATACACTTTCTTTTATACAATTATTTTCTATAGCATCTTATTTTTAATTTATACTTCTGCACTTTTCAGATAAAAAATCTTCATATATTACTTTAAAAAAGTTTTGGACAGAAAATATTAAAGCATTTTTGATATTTAAGATTACTATATAATTCTGAAATAATACTAAGATAATATTTATTATAATCTGATAAATTTTTAAAATATTCTAAAAATAAACTAAACTTAGAAAATGACTATCATGATCTTGTACAATAAGTGATAAAAAATCATTATTTTTAAATAAAGAGTCACAAATTTCAAATGTATATAGTTCTTTACAGCAATTTCAATCTTTGCATTTTCTCAAATCAAGTAAATACTTGCAAATTTGAACATGCTGATTGATCCATTTCTAAGACTCCTCTTTTATGTTTAAAAAATCTGCTTAATTATGATTTTAATGTATATAGTAATTATAAAATATCCATTAATATTATTCTATCTCTAAAGTTTGCAAAATTTTCACTCATATGCTTAAATTTATAATATGTAAGGTTTTATTTTTACAATAATTTTTCTATCAACACTTTCAATATGTTTGTTGAATACAAATACATCCAGTTCAATACTTGTCAATTTACTAGAAAATATTACTATAGTTTTTTCTACTATATTATAAACTAATTGTCCTGGAGCATATATTCAGATTAAAGATTATATAGCAATTAATTTTAAATTTACAACTAGTTTCAATATAAGCTAAAATTAATTGCAATATACATAAGCAAAAATTAGTTGCAATATATATAGATTAAAATTAATTGCAATATATGTTACAACGTTAAAAATTACAACATATTAATTATAGTTCTCTCATCTTTAAATTCAAATAGTTAGATAATTCAGGTCAAACTTTTTAAAAGTAATAGGTATTTTAGGTATTTTAGAATATTAGTAAGAAATTGTGAATTTTCATTTAACTTACCATTAGTTAAAATATATCAAAGTGGCTTTACAGAATTTCATAATATATAAACTTATAAAATGTGACTTCTCTTATAATTTGCATAAAGCCTATTATATGAGTTTTACAAGTTGTAACTAAAAAAATTCTGGCAAATAAAAATTTGCATTTTCAGTATATAACAAATTATTTGTATTGAAAGGATTGATAATTAAATTGATCAATAGAATTAGCTTATGTTTTAAAACTTTTAAAAAATTATGATCAAAATTGATATAGGCTCATTTGCTATTTGTAAAGTCTTAATGTTTTTCTAATATCTGTCATCCCAAGCAAAATCTATAAATTTAAAAGTAAATTAATAATCAACTATAATGAAAGAAAAAATAAAAATATTAATAATATCTTAGCTTTATCATTCTGTAAGATTATTAAAACTTTATATGAAAAAATGTTGCAATAGATTTAATATCTTTAATCTATATTAAATAGTAATATTCATCAATATAAATATTTATTTCTGTTCTTTCTATAGCTATTAGGCGGATTTGTGTAGAATGTTGGTATTAATAAGCTTCTTTTATTCCTTAGTATTATAGTTGTATATAATTTTGTAATATTAATTTTAACATATAGAAGTTATAATTTTTTTATATTTTTTTATGAAAATGCTTAATCATTCAAACCTTAATCATTTTTATATATTTCTTATGATAAACAACTTCAAGAAAATTATCATTAACAGATATTGCAAATATCTTAGATTTAAAATAACTTTACAAATTACTAATATAAAAGTAATATTCATTTTTGTAGTCTTCTTCTTTTTCCATTTTTTTTTGATTGCTTTAATATATAGAAGGTTATTATTATTATTTGCTTTAAATAAGCTTTTTTTGTTTTAACAGAATTTTAAAAGTTATAATATCTTTAGCTTCTGCAGAAGTATTAATTTGTATTACATTATTTTTATCAAATATATCAAATATATCAAACATTGCAAATAAAACATTTTTGACCTTATCACTTCTATTATATCATTATAAATATGAAATATATTAGCAATATAATTGATATAAAATAACTAATAAATAAAAAATGTAATAACTTACTAAATGATTGATATATTCTAAATAAATATGAATTTATTGTAATTTAAATTGTTTAATATATTTTCTTGTCCAAATATAATTTCAAAATCTTTCTTAAATTTCATATCATTAAGATTATAAATGAAAGACGAAACCCCAAAATAGCAATTAATAAATAACTAAAATTATATTAAAATATAATGAGAGATATAATAAAACCTAAAATCTGAAATTATATTAAAAATATACAGTCAATGACCAAAATTATGCGGACACTTTTTAAATCAAAAAATTTATATAAATAAAATAAAGTGGAAATAAAA